CAACTCCACCAGATCCCTCAGCGCTGGGTCAACCCGACTCTTCAACCCCTCCAGGGATGGGGACTCCACCCCTGCCCTGGGCAGCCCATTCCAACGCCCAACAACCCCTTCTGCAAAGAAATACTTCCTAATAGCCAGTCTGACCCTGCCCTGGCACAGCTTGAGCCCATTCCCTCTTTGTTGTGTCACTTGTTCCTCGGTTCAAGAGACTCATCTTCCCTCTCTGCACCCTCCCTTCAGGGAGCTGTAGAGGGCGATGAGGTCTCCCCCCAGCCTCCTCTTCTCCAGACTAAACCCCCCCAGTTCCCTCAGCCGCTCCCCATCAGACCTGTGCTCCAGACCCTGCACCAGCTCCGTTGCCCTTCTCTGGACACGCTCGAGTCATTCAATGTCCTTTTTGTAGTGAGGGGCCCAAAACTGAACCCAGTCATCGAGGTGCGGCCTCACCAGTGCCGAGTACAGGGGTCAGATCCCTTCCCTGTCCCTGCTGGCCACGCTATTGCTGATATTTAGGCTGGGGTGGGTGGGAGGAGGAGAGCAACAATGCAAATCTGGACAGTACAGACCCTAGCATGACAGGGCCATGCAGGTGGGAAGGGACTCAGGAGATCTCTGGCCCAACACCTCCTCAAAGCTGGTCCCATTAGAGCAGGATGCTGAGGAACTTGTCTAGCTGACTTCAAGTATCTCCACTGGTGGCAATCCCACCTCCTTGGACCCCTGTTCCAGTGTGTGACCACCTTTCTAGTATTTTTTTTCTTGCATCTATTTGGAATTTCCCATGTGCTACCTTCTGTCTGTTGTCTTGTGCCATGGAGTTGGAACTAGGAGGAAGGAGCTCTTATGTGGGTACCCAAATGCACACACTTGTGCATGTGTGTGTGTGCACACACACACACACACACACACACAGTAAAAGGTAGATAAAGCTGTAGACACATAGAGATAACGTATATACCTGGGCATGCATTTATTTATACATATATATACACACAGACATACAAACATGACTTATTTTGCCCCCATTAAAAGACAGTCTCATCATTTGCAAGGGAATTCTTTCTACGCAGACCTGCTCACTCATTTACCTGGACAATGATTCTTGAAGAACTAGGAAAGAAGTGATTGCATCTCACAGGGTATTTATTCACCCAGTGGTCCCCTCTCAGGAAAAGGTTTTCAGTGCATCAAAGCTGTGTTGTAGCATTCCAACCTAGATGATTCTGCGATTCTCTTAACAATGGGCTTGTATGAAGATTGGAGGGGCCACAACATGTTGCTACTGTTGTTCATCAGTCAGCCTCTCCAGGACTTAACTTGGATGCTTAGCTGACTTGATAGTGGCTCACAGAGCAGTTTTCCAGGAGGTAACACAGCTTTTTTTTCCCCAAAGCTGGTGTGCAGCAGTGGCTGTGATGGGCCTTCCGACCCCAGTACAAGCAGACTCAAGGCCGGGCAGAGGAATGCTGCACTGTGCTGTGCTGCCCCGCAGGGCAGCCCGTGCTGCTGGGTGTTGCTTTTAGGGAGCAGCTCACCGTTCTGCTGGCCTGGGTGAGAAGTACCACGTGGGTGGCATCGCTGCAGAAATCCTGCAATGCAATAATGGACCCTATACCCTGGTGGGGAGAAATGGGCTCTGGCTGCACATGGGCAGGAGAGAAACAATCTCGCTTCCCAATGACCTGGGGGGGTCATGAGCTCCCCCTGACCACCTGCAGTTCCTTTACAGCCAGCCCCACAGCAGCACACAGCGTTCAGGGGTGCAGCTCCAGAGGGGAGTCAGGAGCGAGTCTGGTCACGATGGCCTCAGCAGCAGAGTGCAAACTCCTGGTGCGTGCATTTTCAAGTGTCAAAGGAAAATGACCCAAAACCTGAAAGAAGTCATGGAGGGCATGCTGGAATTGTGGCTAGGGAGGAGAGAGGGGCTGTAGCCTCACTGTGCTGTGCTGCTGCTCACTCAGGTGCCAGGCAAGTTATGAAGCATTGCCTGAGACTGCAGTGCTTGGTGATTCCTGACTGCTCAAACCCTTCCCAAGTCAGGGAGGAGTGGGGGGGTGTCCCACTTGCCTGCCTATGGCTACCACAACCTTCCAGCTCATGCTGGTGTCCTGGGCTGCCAGGCTGCCATCTCCTCCAGAAGGCTTTGCGAGGATCACCATTATGGATCTGGTGGAGTTGAGGTTAATGGTTGGACTGGATGATCTTCAAGGTCTTTTCCAACTGAGATCATTCTGTGATTCTGTGACCTGTGCTGTGGACTTTTGCACCCACAGGCAGGCCAGACACCGAGACGTGGATAGACACAAGGTGCAGGTGCTGTAGTGAAGCACAGTGGTGCCGTATCTTGCTAAGCGTGGGCAGCTGGGGCATTGTGTCACACCTCTGCCCTCTTTCAATGCGGCAGGTCTCACTGGAAACACAGAAGTGCAGACTGACAGCATGATTTCTGCTCTGGCCATTTCTTGGGAAAACACCTCTGCATGTACCCTGTGTCAGGGGTCTGCCTCGGGGCTGGGTAACACTGCCCCATGCCATGGCTTCTGCCCACCCATGTACCCCCCAGGAGGCTGTGCCAGCTCAGCTCGGGCTGCCGGAGGGCCCACGGGGATTTCTTTGAGCGCAGTGCCCCATGGTGTGGTCTGCTGTGCCCAGGCTCTCTGGGAAGTGGTGTAGACCTGCAAGGTGGCTGCTTTCCATCCTGGGGCTGCACACTCTGGATGCGCTCATGGCGTGAATCTGCATCCCTCGCTCCAGCCCTGCAGCACCTGCACCCCCATTGCAGCCACAGCTCAGCCTGGTGCTGACCGGCTGTCCTGGCCCGGGACCACGTGAAGCCACACGGGCCACTTCTGTGCTGAGATGTGCTCCAAATGGTTGAACTAGGCAATCTTCAAGGTTTTTTCCAACCTAGGTGATTTTGTGACAACGCGGGGCAGGACTGGTGTGCTGCTGCTGAGGCCTGGCCCCACTGCTGGCGGGGGGCATGTTGTTTTTCTTAGCGTGGACACTGTTGTTCAGCTCAAACCCTTCCGGCTGGGGAGGGGAAAGGCATGCCACAGCCCTGAGGCATCCCGTGCCCAGCACAGGCCCTTGCACTGGGGCAGCACCCTGGGATAGCGTGGCAATGTGTCCTCCTGTAAGGAAGCCAGGGGCACTGCAATGGCCTGGCCCGCCTGCTCACCAGCTGGAGAAATAAAGGGGTTTGTCTTGGCACTTCGGGATCATGTCAGAGCCCACGGGGAATCTCCTGGTGCTCCCTTCCCCGGGTGTAAGCAGAGGGGCAGCCCTGGGGGGGTTGCGAGATGCGGGCACAGGGTCTGTCTCCATGGGGGCTGCGTGCTGGCAAGTGGTGCCACAACCAGCAGGATGTGGCCGGTTGCTTCAAAGGGGGCTGCACACCCCCATCCACGGGCACTGCGTGGCCGTGGCCCCGCGGCTGTCCTCACATGGCTCCCGTTGGCATGGCCCCGAAGTGCTGGGGCCAGCTGTGGCGCTGGGTCACGGCTGTCCCGCAGGCCAGGGGTGCCCGGCGGGTCAGGGCAGGGCTGGGATGGGGAGGGAGGCACCAGGGCTGGGCCGGGCGGGATCCCGCACGGGAGATGATGTATGGGCAGATGTATCAGATCGCACAAGATAAACAAGCAGTGAATTTCATCAGGGCCCATCATGGCTTTAATTTGGCTGCCTAATGAGTCAGATCCAGCCGCGCAGATAAAAGTTGTCAGAGCCGCAGCCCTAATGAATTTCTTGCCACTTGTAATCAAGGCAGCTTGTCTGAGGGGGATGATTAATGGGCCCCAGAGGAGCTGCCGTCCCTCGGCTTCCATTCCCGCTAATGCAGTCGCCAGGAAATTAACCAAACCCAGCACCGGGCCGGGGCCAGGGCACCGACGTGCACCGCGAGGGAAAGCGGGTACGGGGGGGACAGGTGGGGAGTGCTGGCACCGGGACCAGCACTGGGACGGCGGCCACCACGGCGGCACACGCAGATGTGAGTTAAGAGACTGGTGGAGGGGCTGGGGCCACCCGTTATGGCCACCGGTGTGGCAGCCCTGTGACACAGCAGGGCACGGCGGCAGGGGTCCGGAGGGGACTGCTGAGGGGTATCTGCGAGAGGTGGGGGGCCGGGAGGGGAGAGCAGGGTGACTCGGCACCTCCCTCCCTTATAGCACCCAGCGCCATGAAGTGCAGAGCATAGACCCGGGAGGGGAAGCTGGAGCCCCAAATTGTCCCTAGTAGTGTGGCCTTGGGTGCAGCCAGCGGAGAACAGGTGCCACCGGGGCCTTGCTCTGCCAAAAGCTGGGAGAAGGGTGTGATATCGGGGACCCACAGCTCCCTTCACTGCCTGGGGGGGTCGGTCCTCTGGGATTAGATGACCCTGTCTTCTGCAGCGATTTTTTGACCTGTCAAACCGCCCAGGCTCCTGGACTGTGGAACAGCCCACAGTTCCCTGCCCATCTCTGCCTCCCCCCAGCTTCAAACTCTGTATTTTGCACAGGGCCCCAGCACTTCTGACCCGGCATGTCCCCTGCCCAGCAAACGCCTCTGCTGTGCCCCTCTCCGATCCCACCAGAGCCGTGCGTCCCCTGGGGCCGTGTCCCCGCTTCGTCCCCCAGCGCCCGGGATTGTCACATCTCCCCTCCCTATCCCGGCACTCTGCCCCCACCACTAAGGGGCCCAGTTCAGCACAGGGCCGCTGTTATCAGCTCCCCAGCTGCAGGAGAAAGGGCTGAACGTTTGTCAGGCTGGGATGGAAGAGCCACCAGCCCTCACAGAGCAGGCAAGAAGTTGGGGGCCCAAAAGGCAGCAGAGAGAAAAGCTGTCCTGGCAGGAGGTGGGTTGCTTTATTGGCCTTTATCTCCTTGGCTGCAGATTAACACACACAGGGCAACTCATGGCAAAGAAACAGTATATACAGAGTGTCCATATAAATATTTCCAATGTACATTTTATACACAAGTGACAGAGACGTTCCACAGCAGCGTCCAAAGCCTCGGGGTTCCAGTGCTCAGCTGCAGGCTTGGCCTAAAACCGAAGGGAGACGCTGGCCTCCTCTCTCCTCTCGCTCAGCCGGAGACCAGCCCCGCCTGGGCAGCAGCGGGAGCCAGCGGGGATGCGCTGATGGAGACACTGTGTATGGCTTTGGGGCTTGAACCTGGAAGGACAGTGACTCTACAGACAGACAGACATAGCTGGGGATCCCGGGGTGACCCTCCTCTTCCTCCTCTAGGTCACCGGGGAGGCTGGAGAGGTCCGGGGACTACATGGGAGAGGAGCTCCCTTTGCATCAGCATGTGGGGAGCAGTACCAGCGAGCAGATCCCTCCCTGCACCAGCCCGAAGCAGAGAGGTTCTCCACGCAGCTCCTGCTGCCCCCCGCCTCCCCACTGCACCAGGGGTGCATAGCAAGGCCGAACGGGATGTAGGGGCAGGAGGGAAGCGCCCAAACTGCAGCCATCGCCCTCCCCAGTCCTGGCTGCAGGGGAGGGCCACACACCCAAACTGCCCCCAGCCCCTGTATTATCTACATGTGTGTGTGGTGGGGGCCACAGAGAAACTGCCTCTCCTCCTCCTGTACCGGTCATGAGAACGGGGTGTACTGGAGCCCCCCCCCATCCCAGTGACTATGAGGGAGCCCTTTGGCAAGCCAACAGCGCGGGGTCTGTGCAGCCCACGCTCCAGCTGCGTGGGGTGAGTCCGCAGGAACCGGCTGCTGGCTCCCCGGCCTCCTCCCGGCCAGAACAGGGGTGCTGCGGGGTGGGGGGGCTGTTCTCAGACCCGCTCCTGTGGCCCCGGTCCCCCAGCAGACCTTGAAGGCGGCCACGCGGTGAGCAGAGGGCTAGACAGCGCCGGGGCTGGGGCCGAGCTCAGCCGGCACCGCGGTGCAGGCGTTGTTGTTGGCGTTGGTGTTGCGGCGGGGCAGGCTGGGGGTCAGCGTGGTGACGGCGCTGTCGCTGGGACACCCATGCTGCAGCAGGATGTCAATGCACTCCTGGCTGCCGGCTCGCCGGGCGTAGGCCAGTGGGGTCAGGCCCCGAGCGTCCCGGCTCTTCACGTCCACCCCGTACTGCGCAGGAGAGAAAGCAGACAGTCAGCGGGCACCGGGGTTTTGCAGCACTGGGGCGGGCACTGGAGGGAAAGGGGAAGGCAGGCAGGGCAGTGCCAGGAGGCACGGTGTGGGGGTGGAAGCCAGCAAGAGGATGATGAGGGGTGTCCCCAGACCTGGGAGCAGGGAGCTGCTGCAGCAGGGAAGCACCAGGGGCGTCCTGTCTTACCCAGATGAGCAGCTGTGTGAAGACGACGTTGGCCATAGCGCAGGAGAGATGCAGTGCCGTGCGTCCGTCTCCATCCCCATAGGTTTCGTTCACCTCCTCCTTGGTGCCGTGGGCCAAAAGCGTCACCACGAGGCGCAGGTCATCCTCCACCACAGCCCGAAGCAGCTGCTGCCCCAGCGGGATGTCCGACTGTGGCAGTGGAGCCAGGAAGAGCTTCTGCTCGTACTTGGCCCGGATCCAGCGCTCCTTCTCCTCCCTGCCAGACAGGGACACTGTCACTGTCACGGGTGGGCTAACCTGTCTGCACCCCCGCAGCCAGCGGGCCCCACTCCAGACACCCCCGCCGCGGGCATGGCTGGCACTGGGACTCTCACCCCACTTCGGACACATCACTGTCTCACTGCACCTTCCTACAGCTCCCTCCGTACGCTGCATGTCCATCACCGTGCAGAGGGACACCTGCACTTCTACCCCAGTGCCCCTGCCCGTTACGTGGGCAGCGCGTTATGGGGACTGGTTCTGTCCCGTGCTGGTGTGCGGGCCATGGCCAGCGGCAAGAAAAGGTCAGCTGCCGCACACGACAGCCCGGCGGTGCCACGGGAGGCACGTTATCGCTGCTGCCGTCTCGCCTGGCGCAAACAAAAGGCTGCGGTAGCGTGGGTCCCGCCTGGGGCTGCGGGGCCGGGCGGATCGATGCGCGCCGTGCCGCCGCTATCTGCTGCCATTCTATCCATCTGCATCTGGCGGGCGGCCATCAATGCCCCGCGCGGAGCATGCTCACTCCCGCCGCCCCCTGACCCGCTCTTATCCGTTGATAAGCTGCAGAATGGGCTCTTGTTGGGATGAGTGACAGGAGAATCGCTCCGATAGGGACAGACAAGGGCCTGAAAGGGACGCACCCTTGAGACCCGCACCACCACGCTGCCAAGCCAGCTCTGTTAACCCCTTCTGCTTCGCAGCTAGCTGCAGCTCTGGCAGTCACCGTGTGGCCCCGTCAGCCCACCAGCACCTCCAGTGCCTGGGGAGCAGGCAGGACCACCAATGCTGGCGTACCTCGAAGTCTCCTGCCCACCTCTCTGACTGGATGGCTTCTCCCAACCTCCTGTGGTGCCCTCAAGCCTCCTGGCACAGTTGTCTGAGAAGCATCTCTGCAGTTCCCCACCTCCCTTACCGACTGCTCTCAGGGGTGGGCTTGGGGTAGCCTTCCACCGCTCCTTCCCAAACGGCGTTGGCCAGGGCGTTGCCGATGGCTGTCATGACCATGAGAAGCTCACTGGGCCAGTCGTCCAGGTCCAAGGAGCGCACGCGGGACAGGTGGGTGCCCAGGTTGCGATGGATCCCAGAGCACTCGATGCACATGAGGGCGCCCAGGTTCAGACTTGCCCAGTCCGGATCTGAGGGTAGCAAGAGCAGTGGGGGAGTTAATAACCAGCATTGACTCACCAGTATGTCTCCTATGATCCAAGAGACACATATTTGCAGGCACCTGCCCAGCATATCCCTTCCAAGGGACCAGCCCATACCTGAAAAGCAGGTCCACTGAAGGAGAGGACAAGACAGCCCTACAGAGTCAGGCTCAGAATCACAGAATGATCTTGGTTGGAAAAGACCTTGAGGATCATCCAGTCCAACCATGAACCTCACAGGGACTCAATTCCACCAGATCCCTCAGCGCTGGGTCAACCCAACTCTTAAACCCCTCCAGGGATGGGGACTCCACCCCTGCCCTAGGCAGCCCATTCCAACGCCCAACAACTCCTTCTGCAAAGAAATGCTTCCTAAGAGCCAGTCTAACCCTGCCCTGGTGCAGCTTGAGACCGTTCCCTCTTGTCCTGTTGCTTGTTCCTTGGTTCAAGACACTCATCCCCAGCTCTCTGCACCCTCCTTTCAGGGAGCTGTAGAGGGCGATGAGGTCTCCCCTCAGCCTCCTCTTCTCCAGACCAAACCCCCCAGTTCCCTCAGCCGCTCCCCATCAGACCTGTGCTCCAGACCCTGCACCAGCTCCGTTGCCCTTCTCTGGACATGCTCGAGTCATTCAATGTCCTTTTTGTAGTGAGGGCTCGTTGGGGTAAAAGAGGAGGTGGTTGGGGTGGGGTCCCCATCCCTGCCCCATGTGAGCAGCCCCCACCTCCCAGGGTAGTATTTCTTACTTGGTGCGTCGCAGTCCACGCAGAAGCTGTTCCCACGTGCGGTGCGGACGGCCTGCATGGCCTGTGCATCGCTCTGGCTGCCCAGCCGAGCCTGAAACAAAATGCACAGCAACCCTGTTTACCCGAGGCCAATGGCTACGCCCTGCAGCCTCTCGTCACCTCCCCAGGAGCTCGTCGGGGAGCTGCCAGCACCTTGCTGCGGTGGGAGCAGGCACCCTGCGGGCTCTGCTGCGGGAGGGGTGTCCAGCGCAGGGCTCAGAGGACAGGGACTGGAGGGAACACAGATTTGTAGCCAGGTGTGTGCCAGAGGAGCAGGGGCTGGGTGGCCAGAAGGGCAGAGCTGTCCTAGGAGAGAGTGGACAGTGCAGGATCCAGCCCTGGCAGGACGCAGGGAGCTCAACGGGGCCAGAGCCAGATTAGGGAGAGAAGAGGGAGCTCAGAGAGGTGACAGGAAATTTGGAGGGGAGCATCATAGTCCTAGGGACAAGATTCAACCCACTGGGAGTAGAGGGATCAGGACAGGATCCAGCCTGGGACAGGGACAGACACAGCAAAGCAGATGTCAGAGAGGAGGGGACAAAGCAGCGCTCAGCTGAGGCTTTTTACCTTATTCTTTCTTCTTACCTTATTCTTGCTGCTCTCACAGCCCTGCAGGCTGGCCAGGATCTGGCTCTCAATGGCCTGGACCCAAAGCTCTCGTTCCTCTGACGTTGAGGCCTCAAAAAGCCACGTCTGGCCCGTCAGGGACACAATAATGAACTCAAACGGCTCATCTGGTTCTGGAAAAGAAAGGTGTGCCATGACACAGGTCAGGGAGGGAGGGGACCTGCCAGCCTCGCAAGGTGTGAGCACATGGACGGATCCCTGTGGGCCACGGCTGTGCCCACGCACAGGCAGATCGCTGGCAGCAGCAGCAGTCCCTGGGAGGCTAGGACAGTTAAGTGCAGGCAGAGAGTGCCTGCAGGAAGGAACCAGAGCTCTGCTCGCACAGCACCCTGTGCCCCAGCTCCCTTTGGCACACGAACATCCGCAGCCTCGCTCCCTCATCATCCTGGGCTGGCAAACCCAGGAGGCTGCAGAAAGCTACTTGTGCCCTGCATGTCCCACCCCCAGAGAAAGCTGCTGATCTCTTGAGCAGTGAAATCAGCTCCTCCACAGAGCTGGTGCCCCTGAACATCCCCATCACCCCCCGCCAAGGGCCCACAGAGTGCTTGGTGCCTGATGATGAGTGGCTTTAGGGGGACACGGCCCTGCATGCTGGACCAGGAGATGCAAGAAGGGTCCTTGCAGTGGGTGAAAGGCAGCTCTCGACAGTCCTGTGCATTGAGAAGGGCCATCACCACCAACTGAGGAGCGCAGAAAGGCAGAGATCCCACGTGGGAAGCCCTTGGTGCCTGGGAACTCCATGGACCCACACGGCCACTGTTTTCCCATGGAGAAGCATGAAGTCACAGACATCCAGGCAGGAGCCACAGGGAGGCAAAGAGGGATGCTGTTCTCAGCTCTGGCACATCTCTATGCCCTGCTAGGCAGGCAGCCTCCAGCTCCCAAACCCGGGAAGCTGGTGGCCATGGGGCTGCTCTGCACACCACTGGGATCTTGCTCCCTGCAAGCAACCCCGGAAGATACAGCCTCAATATTAAAGCACTTCTCTGGCTGTGAAACGTGTGGGGACAAATTCCTGACTTGCTGCCTTCAGGGAAGATAATTCTGGGGAGCCCCAAGCGTTGCTCAGGCACTTCGAGACTGGGATGGAAGCATAAGCATCCCTACAAACACAGGCTGCCTGGTGGGTTTCCAGGGTTTCCAGTCAGAGCACAGCGCTGGGTGTGGAACCAGCAGCAGAGAGATGGGGGACAGTGAAAACATGGGAAAGCACCTCAGGCCTGCCCCCCGGGGCTCAGAAAACAGCCCCAAAACAACCAAGAGCCAGCTGAAAACATGTGGTCTCCCCCTGATTACTGTTGCACCCTCCCGGTCTGGGCTGCTGGGGCCAAGCTCTGCCCTACCAGCCCACACCATGGGCTGCACCGAGCGGGCACACGGGCCTCGGATTTATCTGGGGTGCCCCGTCTCAGCTTTGCACCCAAGCACCAGCATTTACCTTTTATTGCCAACTTCAGTAGTTAGTGCAGTAAATGACTTAACTAAGCGGGGCCTGAATGGAATGACTAATAAACGTTATGTCACAGCACACGCTTCAGCTCATAGCAAAATGATTTGTAATTACCTAATTAGCGTTATGCAAATAACACCCTCATCTCCATAATGTGCCTTCCCAGCTCTCTATTAAAAGCAGGGAGTCAACTGCACAGCTCCAGAGACAGCAAGGAGGCTGAGGGGCCCAGAGTGGTCTGCAGCAAGGCAGAGCTGTGCTGGCCTGCAGCCTGGCAGAGTCCGTGCCTGCCAGGGCAGCTGCGGGGAGGTGAGCGGAGGGGGTCCTGGGGGGTTCCTCTCCTCCGCCCAACTCCCCTCTGTGAGCTGTGGCCAGAGGAGTCTCTCACTGTGGAGGGAAGCAGCAGGAGGGCAATGATTGAGGAACCTGCTGCAGCCCGCAGCACCCCAGCAGAGCTAATGAATGGGTGTGGAGGCCACCAGCTGGGTCCCACCGAGGGCATGGCCAACCTCAGCTGCTGCTGGGCCCCTCCCGGCACCACCCAAGCAAGGCTGAGTCCACAGACGCTCTCAGAAAATGGGTGCAGCCATGGGAAGTCTCCTTGAGGAACAAGAGCTCCGATGGGGGTGGCAGGAGAGCACAGCCTTTCCTCTTTGAAGTGCTCTTTTCCAGGCTCTCGCTTCCTTCGCAGGCACCACCACCTGCATTAACAAATACCGGGCATGGCACCCAACTCTCTATCTCTTTCTGTCATGCACAGCTGCTTACCCCAGAACAACCTGAGGGTAAAACACCCTCCTGCTACTGTGCCATGGTGGTGAGCATCAAGCTACTCACGCAGTAGGCTCAGGATCTTGCATTTCAGTGGGGTTAAAAGTGTGAGTGACATCTGGTTGGAAAGATGCCTCCCTTTACCACTGCTGAGAGCACTCCAAGGTGTGTCCTGCACAGATCCCAGCAGCAGCCGTGGGGGCTCGGAGATCATCAGTGCTGATGAAAGGGACTGGTGTGGGAATGCAAGGCTTGGTCTCCACACCAGAAGACATTTGGGGGGACCGAATGACTCCACAATGAAGGGCTCTCCAGGTCAAGTGCCATCTGCCTGGCCTTTCCCAGATAGGAAGGGTAGGCTGTTCCACTCATTTCACCCTAGAATCGACTTGGGACTCCTCTGGTGGAAGATGCCTCTCTCCTGCTGTGAATGAGAAACTGGGGCATCAGGAGGAGGACTAGACTGCAGTGCTGGCCAGTCAGTCACACTGTTGGGCTCTCTGTGACGCACTTGTCTAACTGGGACACTGAGCTTGCCCAGCACTTTGCCCTTTCCTCCAGCTCTAAGCCAGAGAAGAGACCCCACAGGCCGTGCTCTGGGGAGCTCCTTCACAGAATCACCTTGGTTGGAAAAGACCTTGGAGATCATTCAGTCCAACGATTAAACTCACCCTGACTGTTCCCAACTCCACCAGATCCCTCAGCGCTGGGTCAACCTGACTCTTAAACCCCTCCAGCGATGGGGACTCTACCCCTGACCAGGGCAGGGGAAGGCATGTGTCTCCTACCCTAAGGACGTTTGCTGTGGAGGCTCCAAAGACACCAAGTCCCAGTTCAGAAACAAGATTTGTGGAAAAACTATAGCTGCTAACTTCTGAATACTGGGAGAAGAAATAACCAGACAACAGCCAGGCTAATAGCCACTGTCTCCTGGACTAGCTAGCACCGTCCTCTTTGTGAGCACCACCATGACCCGGACACAAGCAGGAAGCACCCAACCACTGGGCAATGTGGGAACCTTCCACCGCGGTGTTCAGCTGGATCTGCTGAGCCCCTGCTCAGCTCCAGTCCACTCACGAGCAAGCAGCTGCCCCCACCACTTCCACCGACCCAGCCTGCGACTGGGATCTGCAGGCCAGGGACTCGGGTGCTCCAGTCATTCTGAGAGATCGTTCCTTCTACCTCTGCAGAAGGCTACAACAGAGTGAAGGCCTGTCCACTCATTGCTGCCCAGGGCAAAGCATTAATACCCAGGAAGAAAAGTGGCATTTCTTCCTGGGGGGCAGTGACCACTTGAGAGAGGGTCTGCAGTTCCCAGATCTCAGATCAGTCCACACTGTTGGAGCAGCAATCAACAAAGCCACTCCTGGGGCACCCTGATGTATCACAACCAGCCCGATTTTCCTTAAATCTCTCCCATCCTTGGTCTGAGCCACCTGTGGCTGCTGCCAGTGCGTTGCAGAGCCCAGGCCAGCTGCTTGGAGCTGGGAAGTACTGGATCCACTTCAAGTGCTCCCTGCTGTCACTGAAACAGTAGCAAGCAGGTCGGCACAGTCCCTGGGACAAAGTGAGAATTCCTACCACTGGCTCACAGGACTCCATCATCCTTGTTCCTTTCTCTCATTTGCTCAGTCCCTCCCCACCAAACACAGAGGCAGGAATCCCAGCCCAAGCCTTCCTGCACCATTTCCCAGCAGAACTGAGGTGCCAAACACCCCTCCCAGGTTCCCAGGCAAGGCTTGCTGCCGCTCTGGGGCACAGCCCCTCTGCCTCAGGTGCTGTGCTGGGGCGGAGGGACCACATGTCCCCCAGTCATCTGCTCAGGACACTCACAGAGGAGCGGCAGGTTGGGCTGCTCACACCCAATCACGTGCAAACAGCGAGATTTCAGGGGCTCTGACCCCACTCGGAAAGACTTTCCAACCGTCACAATACGGGGGCATCCCGGAGCTGCCGGGTGCCAGGTCTGGCAGCTGTCCCAGTCAGACCAAAGCCCCAGCACCAGCTTCACAAGCTGCAGGACCTCCATTCCCCTTCCTCCTTTGTGCCTCACGGATTCCAGCTTTACCCCGAACAAAGGGCCTGTTGCTCTCCACAGAGCCCGGGAAGAGCTAACAAAGGACGACAGCTTTTCTTCCACACTAAGGCTTCTTTTGCAAGCAAAATCACTACCTCTCTTTCCCTGTGGCAACACAGGACGGCACAGCAAGGCCAGACCTCTTTGGAGGCTTGAGCGCGGCGTGGCTACGGCAGGAGAGTAGGGAGCTGCGGGATCACACCCACGGATTTGCAGGCAGAGCTCAGCAGAGCTGGGAGGGGAATCGAGGATGCGGAGCAGCTTTGAACAGTGTGCACACTCAGCTTCTTGGACGGTTTGGGATGAGTTCCTGAGCTCCCTGGGGAGTCTGTACCAGTTGCATCAGACTCAAGTCATAGTTTTAAGGAAAGTACGGGGCTTTCCCTGATTCTTCTGAGGGAGGCACAGATTTCTGATGTGGCAGAGGCATTTCTGGCCAGATGAAAGGGTAGCCCCAAGTAGATAACAGAGGCAGAAGGGTTTGGACTACCTCTGTTGAAGCAGACTGGGCAGAACACCCTTCCCTGCACCACACACAGGGCACGGGCTTCTTCCCGGTGGTCAGGGTGGCCAGAGGAGCCCCAGAGCTCACCAGCTCAGACTCAAAAGGGCCAAGATCCCAGAGGAAGCCTCTCCTACAGGAGTGGGGAGCCCTTTCCAGCCGCTTTGAGGTAGAGGGTCTGTCCCAGGACCAGGAGGCAGAGCTCATCTCCCTGGCCCTGCAGCTGCCTGCAGGCACGCTGGTGGGAGTCCATTATACCAGCTCCATTAGAATTAGTGGGCAGTGGAAATGAACGTGCTTGTCTCTCTCTCTC